ATCGATGGCTTCGCTGAAGGTACTAGAAAGCAGCAGCGGCCTAACTACGCCGCCGCCTACAGGGAAACTTCTCGTCCAACACCTCCGCCGCCGCCGTCACCACCCACAATCGGTGTTAGGTTTCCGGCGGCTAGTAGCGGTGGCAACACGCGGAATATTCAGCAGATTTGCAGGTATCCTTATTCGCCGGCGGAATCTCTGGTTTGCTGGACTCCGGTGGTTTCTGCGACCACAGAAACGACTACGGTGATCCGAGGTTATGAAGCTGCCGGTAAATTACAAGGTGGCGGCGCAACCCTTATGGATGAATAGCTAGTATACTTAGATACATATACGTATTACGTGCCAATACATGCATGCATGCATGCTACTTAGTGATCGTATATATATACTTATGTTTTGTATTGATCAAGTTGTTACCATTACGTCAAATTCAAACTCGTGACATGTTTTAATATCCATAATTTTTTTTTAATCATGATATCCATAATTAAATTAGACACTTATTCATACTTATTTAGTTGTCGGTGCCATGTTTCAATAGTGACTTAACCCTCTAAACCACTGTTTAACATATTCTTGTGTCGCCCCCGGTCTTAGTGCATAGTTGGTTTGTCGCCGCCTGATTTAAAGGTCATAATTGGAGACGGTAATATGAGATTCGAATCGCACTAGAAACATGTATAGAAAAAAAGTGTAAAGGATGCTGAAAAGTATGGATTAAACCTTGTGTGCGCACATGAACACTATAATTTGCATGAAGACTAGGCTCTAGGGATGGATCCTGTGAGCTTATGATTAGTCCGGCGGGATCACCTAAGTTTTTTTGTTTTTTTTTTTTTTTAAAAATTTTGTGCCACTTGTACTGTCCTGAATATATGATTGGATGCACTCAACATAACCTCGGAGGGTTGCTGCATGCATACGTGGAGGGTAACCTTTGGATAGGATCGAATATTATTGAGATATATTTTATGTTTTTAACTTGCCTTTGATCAAACCTTATAAGGAATCTGATTTGTACCCAACATTATTAAATCCTTGTTAAAACGAAGAATATTAAAAAAAAAAAAAATTGTAAATTTTGTACTGATGATTGTCGGGTGAAAAACCAAACGAATAAGGAAAGGATACAAGTGTTAAGAGATTTTAATTTCCAGTGATGGCGGGCCTTTTGGAGATACGCTTGAATTGAGGATTATGTATGAATAAAATATTAGATGTCCGTACGGACTTAGCTTAATGATTCAATACGCAGTATTTGAGAAAAAAGATCATAGTTCGAACCTCAGTCGTAGCAGCATGGGGATTCTGCCGACAAATCCCTTATGCGCACCGACATTTGATCATGTTTGTTGAACCATTGAGTCACCGTGATTTACATCTTTTTAAATATTCTGTCGGGTAGGATTGGAGATTCAACCTTTTGGAAGAAAAAAAATAATAGAAGAAACTAAATTGAATGAACTAAAATATAATTACGAATCTTAATTACTTGCGGCAAAGGACGTGGACACGTCGTAATTAAACATGGACAATATTTTATTAGTCCGTGGCAATTGCTCCATGTATTATAGTATATACGACATTCCCCATTTGATATGATGTATCCTAAAGATCAGAATCAAGTTAAGTGGTCGGGACTGCATAATAATTTATAAATACTACATGGTTAGTTAGTTTAATCATTAATGAGCTAGCTAGGTACTGATGCTGCATTGCATGCTCCTTATTAATTAAATTTTATCCATTATTGTGACCTTTAATTTGGAATAAAATCATACCCTCTCAATCTTATAAAGAGTCCAGTTGCTTTTGGTTTATAAGTTAAAGAAATAAAGAATAGGAACCAAAACGCTTATTGTTATGTCAAAAGTTATAACTAATAGCAAATATGTAAATTTATTTCATTATACTTGTGTAATAGTTAAAATTACGTACATTTTTATGACAGAATGTTAAACTTGATCTTCCTAACATCCTCGCCAATACGACATAATTTACGTCACATATGACATATATTATATTATAACAACATCCATAAAAGAAATAGTGAATATTTTCCTCAGGTGATATGATTGTTTGCACTTTGCTGGGAGTGGATGGATTCTCGGCCGGTGCAATCCCACGACACAAAGAATGATTCTTGGCCGGTGCACTTCATCACTCTACTCAACCTTAACTTAATCATATTATACCATATATAATCACTTTAATTGGCGCAAGTGTCCGTGCACTCTCATCTCTTAAGAACCTTTCTCGTATGAAAAAAAAAAAAAAAACAATATAATTAACACTTTACCTCTTAATTGAATCAACCGTACCCAGTCCTCCCATAAATAAGACCTACTTAGGAGTTAGGACACCTCATGGTCTGACTAAAAACAAAAAATTGTATCTTACCATATATATATATATATATATATATATATATATATATATATATATATATATATATATATATATATATATATATAACTTGCTACTCCGTAATACAAATATATTACAAAATAAGCTTACTCTTACATGACCATACTTTTGTAAATAGTCCTCCTTTGTACATAAACTTAATGTATAACTCACTAGTATACGTACTCTTACATGACCATATCTTGTAATTAAATAGTAAAAGTATACCACCTCTCTTAGTATTCCGAAGTAATCTGCCGAGCATAATATAATGCCGCATATTGAATATTCAAGACACTTTAGGATTATATTTCTCAAAGTGAATGCTTTAGAATTTAGTCAATTTACTATAATAAATGGACATCTCACATGTAACGATATTTTCGTATCAAACAATATACTTGATCTAGCTTTGCCTTGTCAACTTGTGGAATCGTTTGGAAGAGATCATTTATTGAGTTACAATTTATATAAAAAGTTATCGCATTTGTTATAATTTTCATCATTTAATATGATATCTTTTTCAAAAGAGCGATACTACATACATATATTCCCCTCATGATTTCAACCGTTTAACTTATAATATTCACTTCTTTACGTAGCAAAAGATTATTGGTTAAAAAAACAAAACAAAACAAAAACAAACAGGAGGGGGTGACAAATTATAGTGGGTCCACACAGTGTTATGTGGATCATAACAAAAAGTACATTTTTAATATACTAAGTGTATATTATTTTTGTACTAAATGTATATTATACAATATAATGTACACTCAGTATAAAAATAATGTACATCCCCTGAATATAATGTACATTATTTTTATATTGAATGTATATTATTTTTATACTGAATGTACATTATTTTACAATATACAAAATATGGTCCACACAATAATGATTGGGAGGGGTCACCCCAACAAAGCAATCGCTTAGCTTCATCTCACAGGACACATTTTCGGCAAATTATGTTGTGCATCCGTATGCACCATGATGCAAAAACGACGTCGTTTTAATAAAACGCGCGTCTCCCCTTTAAAAAAAAAATCAGGTTCGATTCCCAGCAACAACATATGAACTAAAATTTCAGAATCGATGAACTATAATTCCATAATCTAATCTATGAACTAAAATTCTAGAATCTATGAACTAAAATTTCAGAATCGATGAACTACAATTCCAAAATCGATGAACTATAATTCCAGAATCAATAAACTATAATTCCATAATATATGAACTAAAATTCCATAATGAATGAACAACATAATGTTGTTGCTAGGAATCGAACCTGAATTTTTTTTTAAAGGAGAGACGCGCGTTTTTAATAAAACGACGTCGTTTCTGCATCCGTATGCACCATGCATGGTGCATACGGATGCACAGCATAACTATTGTCCAAGAACCCATGCGGCCATGCCCCAATGCATTCCATTAAGAAGAGCCCACCCTTCCGCTTCGGAGTTGTTATACCATGGACCAAGGTTCATCTTGCAAGGTGAATCCCAGTCCTAAACGACGTATAAATTGTGTATTTTTAGTATTGGAATTGTAAATTTCTAGAATATAAATTGTGTTTCTGAGTCAAAACACATAGCAGTTGTAGAAGAGAATTTGTGAATACAATAGAAGGTCATCAAATCTTAATCTATTACTAGAGTATTTGAAAGGAACTTATGAATACAAAACAAAGTAATCATTTACATATATATATATATATATATATATATATATATATATATATATATATATATATATATATATATATATATATATGTTAACATTGTGTATTCGTAGCATACAAATGGTAAATTTTAAAAGATAAATTGTGAACATTTAAACCCGGGACCATAGAATAATCTGCGTCCGCTTCGATCGAGCTAGTTGCCTGAACCCTTCCCATAATATAATAGGGATACCATACTTAATTGGTATTCCATGGAAATTCTCAAAAATCTATCTAAAGACCAGCATCAAAGCATATAGACCTCAAAAAAGCTACACCCCGTATCCTAAAATTTAATATTTGCAACTTATATACATGCACTCCGATCCCAGTCCTATATAAAGGATCAAAGCTGCATAGTGTTAGAAACATACAGTACAACACAATACAATCCTCTAGATCAGTTTGTTTGAGTGTTGGTTTGGTGCATGGCCATGGCACGTCCTCGTCCAGCAGACAAGGCAGATCTGGTTAAGATCGGGATGGAAGGCTTTGCCATTGCGGACAAGGAATATCCTCGTAAGAGGTATAACTGGTGGAACTTTGTTGTTCCTGCAGCGAAAGAATCGCCGCCTTCACCAGCTGCTGCTGCCAAAAATGTTATGGACTGCAATCAAGCTGCGAAAGCATATGGAGGTGTGGTGGTGAAGGACTACTTTTTCCCCAGGAAAATGGCCAAGTTCAGGAAGAAGCAAGGTTACTAGCTACTCGGCTCATCTTCATCTCTTTCAACCATCAATACACCCATGGAAGCTGTTTAGTAGTATGTAGCAAAAAGCTAGCTTGGTGGTTGGGTTCAAGTTTGAGTTTAATGTGTCTCTGATCTTCAGGGGAAGGATCACTATATCTTGTATGGTTGTTTCACTAGCTTAACTTGTTTGTATGGTGTGTTTTTAAGTATAATAACCCGTTTTCCATAGCCCCAGGATTCGAGCAGAGCTCAAGTTTCCTTAACCTTAAACAAGCTAGGCCGATATCTAAGAAAATAAACATGTTAATGACATCAAAACAGCCATTTCCCTGTTATTGATCAAAGAAACATAAACTCAAAAATCTATGCTCCATAATACTGTGTAAAAGAAACATCCTCAAAGAAATGTTCCATTCATCAACAAGCACAACACATATCAAGAACAGTATACTTTAGAATAATCCCAGTCAAGTTGGTCAGGCTATTGAGCGGCCTATTGGCCTTCTTAGTTTCAGCCGGTCAACTATGTACACTTTCAAGTTGAAAGTAACCCCTACTCACCTACCCCACCAACTCCAACTTGGTCAAATATATGATTGGGATCAAAAGAAGAGAGACCAGAGACGTATACGCCATCATTGGAGTTCCATAGAAGCAACTAGCAAGTATTGAAAGTGAATTGAAGCAAGATTTGCAATTAATTTATTTCAAATCCAAGAGCCAATTATATGTTCAGGAGAATGAATATATACATTATTTACATTGAAATGTGTTCTAAACAATGAATCAGAGCACTGGAATCCTACACAATCATGAAATTCAAGAATGGAATTCAGTGAAGGATAGTTTTACCAATTCAGCAGACAGGGGTGAGTCTCATCGGAACCTTCTCCCTTGCAGGATCACCAAGTCCACCGGCCACGATTCTGACCACCTTCTTGAACGCGAAATGTAAGCAATTCGAGAACACTATCCAGCTTAAGACCTCGTAGACGAAATCAAAAGCCGGGTCGGAAATTGAATTGGACGAGGGTTCATCCCAATTTGCCCCGCCAAATCCACCGAAATTCCACCCGCCTCCTCCGCCGCCGCCCCAGCTATTCCCACCGCCAAAGGCTCCATCGTCGTCTCCCCCATCAAAGAAAAATCCGAACTCCCCGCCGTCATCCTCGCCCTCGCCGCCGCCGCACAACAACTTCCGCCTAACGCGCCTTGTTTTGCGGGTAAGTCTCCGCGGCGCCGTTCTGATCCGATTCATTATCACCGGCGGTGGAGCCACGGCGTCCGTAGGGGAGAACGCCGCTGAAATCGGGATGAAGCCGGAGGCGGAGGACGGCAGTGATTGCTGATCATCGGAGAGAGACACGACATTGTTTGAGGTGAAACCATGGTGGCGATTCAGAAGGAATTTCGAGCTGTGGGTGGAGGCTAGCGCCGTTATCGCATCGGAAAACACAGAAATTTCCATTGATTTTGGATCCGAACCCCGAATTGAACAAACTAGGGCTTCGCAAGAAAAGGAATTGGTGATTTTCGAGGGAAATTTGCAGAAGAAACAATGTTTCCTTTTTGGTTTGGATGAAAAAAGTTAGGATATTTATTTATTTTTCATGAAACGGACAAAACATGGTCAGATTCTTAAAGAAAATCTCAGGCGGCAAGCAATAGACAACCACGTATCCTCCGCCCGCCCTACTGCATTAGGCAACTATTGTTGTTTAGGGGGAAGTCAAAGGATACTTCAACCTAACGTGATCAAGAGATGTTCCATTTTGAATTCAATCATGGTTAAGTTTTTGATAAAATTTCCAAAAGAAAAAAAAAATATATATATATATATATATATATATATTGTAATTAAGTATTTTAACTAAAAAAATATTTCAAAGAAATCTCTTCTTCTTTCCAAAAGGTTGAACCCAATCCTAAGGGCCTCCACACCCCGACCCGACAGAGCATCTGAGAGGATGTAAATCATGGTAACTCAACTGAACATAAACCACATAGGCTAGACATTTGCTTACTGCGTACGAGAATCCCCTCACTTTGAAATCTCTTGAATCTATAAAATAGTGCAATTTGTTTTAAGGGTTAATTCCCAAAATATCATTCGATTATGATTTTTTCTTAAATTGGTTCATTGACTTTTAATTGTATCCAAAGTAATCCTCCGACTGGTGAATTTTAAGCCAAAACGATCATATGTTAACTTTGTAGGTGTTAAAATGAAGGGTAAAACAGGTAATTCAAATTTTGCCCTCCAATTTAATGAATATGCGACTCCCTTTCCGCAGCCTGAGCACTTTTTTCTTCAAATTAAGTTGTTGTTCTCCTCAATTTGCGATCAAAATGTGGATAATAAACTAGAAGACTAAAAAAGTTTGTCTTAAACTTCATCTACAAAATTCCCAAAGCAAATATTTCACTATGGGGATGTTCTTGTTCGTTTTTGTCAGTGCGGCACGCAATGAAGCATCCAAATATCATGAACTAATGAAAATCCCAGTCAAAAATTCTGGGTTTGTGGAAGAAGCAATGTTAGTCAAAATTGTTATTTAATTTTTAAAATTTTTGTTATTAATTTTACGGTTTGCAATGTTATTATTAATTTTGATTGTAGGTTGAGGTAGCAACAACCTAATTTCAAGAAAATCTTACGCAGGCCGCTGAAAGGGAGTCACAGATTTATTAAATTGGAGTACAAACTGTAAAATTAATAACAAAAATTTAACTCTTTGTTTGCAATTAAAAGTCAAAGAACCAATTTAAGAAAATACTATAGTCGGAGGACCATTTTGGGAATTAACTCTTTATTCTAATATTACATATTCATCATTTTGTCACTAATGGTGTGTTTGAAAACCAGGAAAATGGCTTCTGAAAAATGGGTCATTTTCAATAAAGCATTTTCCTTTCCAATGTTTGGTTGCATTCCAGAAATTGTTTTGGTGTGTTTGGTTCATTTTCCAGAAAAGGAGCAGAATTGTATTTATTTATTTTTTTTTTAAAAAAAAAACTCACTACAAATTTATATATATAAAATAAAATCAAAACACAATAACATTGTCTAGAAAAACACACAAAATCACAGCAAAATAATCGAAAACAATACAACAAAATCTGATTTTCAAAGCAAAAATCAATATGGCCGACTGGTTGACTAGTTTCCGGCCCGGCAACCATTTCAGAAGAAGTGGGAGGAAGAGGTGGTCTCAGTGCTCTGGTAGAGGGAGGGGGGACATGGTAGAAACTAGGGGTGGGCGTTTCGGGTTTCGGTTCGGTTTTTTCGTTTCGGTTTCGATTTTTCGCTTTTAAAAAAGTTAAACCATTCGGTTTAACATTAGAGTTCGGTTCAGTTTGAAACGGTTCGGTTTAAGATCCCCTAATTTCAACATTTCATAATTTTTCGAAATTGAAGCATGTGCTCCATCTCAACTAAAAGCTTAAGCTGATAGTTGGATACACATTAATGGATATATGCTCACACGCCCCCTCACGTGTACGATGGATTCCAACCAACACGTGGACCGGTAAACCGTAGTCGCTTACGAGTGGCGTTGAGATTCGAACCCATGACCTTTGGTCTGGCTCTGATACCAAATTGAAGCATGTGCTCCATCTCAACTAAAAGCTTAAGCTGATAGTTGGATACACATTAATGGATATATGCTCACATTCGAACATACTACCAAACAATACATAATCACATAATCCAAATCCAAACTCTAAACATTATATAACAAAATAGCAATCCAAAATTCAAACACAATACTAAATACTAATTACCAAGTATCAATTAACTTTTTTTGCACAACCGACTCTTCAGTTGGTTCATTTGAAATATTTTTATTGACAAGATGAATAATCATCTATCTGTATAGTTGATATTAGAAGAACAATGGTAAAGTACTATATAATTAATTTTTAGACACAATCTGTCATTGCTAGTGCACTTGCAATATATTCCAATGCTAGAAAATAATTCTAGTGCACTGGAAATCAAAATTAGAATGACGGTAAAGCACATTAAATTTATAGAAACATGAAACTAAGGAAAATACTGAATATTGTAAATATAACTCAAGTTAGATATAATTGTGAGGTAAAAAATAATTGCGACAAACAACAAAAGTGCAATGTAGAGAACAAGTTATAAAGAAATCAAATAAAAATTTAAGGGAGATACCAATGAGAATAAGAACTAAACGGCGGAGCAGGCATCAAGGGGCTTCGATTTACTTATTATTATTATTATTATTATTATTATTATAAAAAATCATATGATATTCATTTTGGTTCAGTTTTTGTCAAACTGTTCGGTTTCGGTTCGGTTCGGTATCGAACCATTCGATTTACAAGAATTCCGAACCGTTCGATTTTCTAATACTAGTTCGGTTCGGTTCGGTTCGATTCGATTCGGATAACCTGAACCCAAGTGCCCACCCCTAATAGAAACACTTGGAAAATGACTTCTTAAAAAAAAAAAAAAAGGAAAGTCATTTTATTAAAAATCTGATGTATTTTTTATTGACCAAGACATGATTTTCCATTGACTTTAAGTTTCCTCCTTGCCAAACACTGAAAATTCGAAAAATAATTTTTAAAATATTATTTTTTCAAGTTTCCAAACACATCCTAATTAAATACAGTACAAACTAGACTAATACTATGTACTTGGTATCTTAATGGTTATGGTTACTCTTTGTAACTAATTAATTATATAAATTTTAATCTAATAAAATTACTTTTATATAAATAAAATCATAATTTAAATTGGAGCATGACAGTATGTTATGTTAGAACATGAAACTTTATTGTATTACAATTATTATTATTATCATTATTCAAATAATAATTATTTTGTTTATAAAATAGACCAAAAAGAAAAAAATAAAAGTTTTATGAATTAATTTTCTTTGACTGCACCATTAGTATATGTCAGTCTGTAATAATTATGCATGTATGGACAGTTCAACTGATCATAGAGGTGAAGTTTTGAAAGAAAAAAAAAAAAGAAGTTACAATAAATATAAAGACAATTGTTTCAGAATAAAAGTATAACTTGCAGTTAATGTATATTATATATTAATAATAATTAACAATAACAAAAGTGACAAAAAAATTATCTGTTGTTGTTTGGCCCGATCCGGATAAATCGGGCTATCTGAACTGCGCTTATATATGACTTCGCTGCATGCCATTATCAGAAACCAACCTTTCCTCCGATCACAGCGCTCCCGCACAAGAAGAAGCCTTCTCTTCCTCTTCGCCGTGCATTTCTACTTTTTCCGATCGATCATCCATTTTTTCTCTTTCTAGACCTCATCACAAGCTCACATGAATTAATTAATACGGCTACGCTGATGATATGATGATCTTATACGTACGCAGCTATAATTATTAATTAATTAATGTCATTGAAAATGGCGTCGAAGCCGCCGCAGCCGACTGCTCCCAGCAGAGGAGGGTCAAAGTACGTGCAGATGCAATCGGAGCCTTCGCCGTCGGTCACCTCGTCGCTGCTGCCGCACCACCAGCAGACGAGCTCCGAGTTGACTCGGATTTTCGATGAGCTGCCTAAGGCTACCATCATCCATGTCTCCCGTCCTGACGCCAGCGATATCAGCCCCTTGCTCCTCACCTACACCATTGAATTCAAATACAAACAGGTTCGGGGCACTACTTGTATGTTTCGTAATTTTTTTTTTTTTTTCGTGCATGTGTGTATATTAGTAGTCGATCACTCAACAATCAGCGGTTAGCTTAGCTGCTTTAGAAGTTTGATGTTTAGAATTCTAGGAGTTGGATTAAGGTGGCGGGAACTTTTTCTAATATAATATTAAAACACATTTCACATGAACTTCAAAAGCTGGATCATAAGGCAATACGCCATCTCAAATTAGATATATAGGTGGGCAATTTGGTACAATATATTACTATGATACGAAAGGCCTTTTGTCCAACGGGATAATTGCATAAAACTTGAGATCTCAATTAAGAAATCACAAGTTGTGTGTGTGTGTGTATATATATATAGTAAATTTACTGATAACCTATAGTCCAAGTAGTGGAAGGAGTTTGGTTCCCTTAATTTGAACTCGCGAATGGAGCAGCAGGGATTAGGAAAGCTCCCCTAGTGGGAATATGGGATGCAATGGCAGCTCAACTCTGGATTAGCAGAAAACGCTGTGGGAGCTTAGGGGTGCTCTATTTTGAGATTGAACGATCAAGTGTGGCTTGTGATTAAAATAAAGTGATGTTCAATATTATCAGGAATGCAATTTGGATTTTTACTGGCTTAGAAGAAGAATATTGTTCAATGATGGATATAGTTTTTCCAATTAAACATCTTCCTTGGCTAACTATATCCCATTTCCCCCAGAATATTAGGTTGAATCTTTTCTAGACATAATTCATCATATCATTATCTGCAGTGTTTACATTTTTGTATGTTGGAGGGATGGCTCCTGTTTAAAAATTATATTTGATGTCTGATATGTTATACTATGGTTTTACCATGCAGTTCAAGTGGCAACTAGTCAAGAAAGCTCCTCAAGTGTTTTATTTACATTTTACATTAAAGAAGCGCTTATTTATTGAGGAGATAACTGAGAAGCAAGAGCAGGTATATTTGAATTTTCATCCATCTGTCTATAATCAAAACTCCATTTTGTTACAGAATTTAATCCCGAATAGCTGCTCTGTTACTTGCATTTTCGTATCTGCTTTAACAGTGAAGTTTTCATTATTTATGACTGGTGTTTTACTTTTAAAGGTTAAAGAATTACTTCAAAACTTGGGATTAGGAGAGAACATACCTCACACACCAACCATGCATGAAGATGATGACCCAGATGATGAGTCTCTCCCAATGCGTACTGACGAAAGTGTCAGAAACAGGTGATTTTTCATTCAGTGTGACTTTTCATAGTAGAAAGAAGGTATTAGATTCATTGTTCCCCTTATAATAGTTATCGTTCTTACAGGTGATTTTTTGTTCAGAGATGTTCCTTCTAGTGCTGCTCTGCCAATAATTCGCCCCACACTTGGAAGGCAACATTCTATGTCAGACACAGCAAAAGTTGCCATGCAAGGGTATTTAAATCATTTTCTTGGGAATATGGATATTGTCAATTCTCCTGAGGTATGTTAGTCTATCTTTTACTCCATAGTTGTTTAGTTTTCATAGTCCCATGAATCATAATAAGGTTATTGTAGTGTTTCTTCGTGAATGTTTTTGTTGGAATACTCTTTTTTTTTTTTCCTAACTTATCATGCCAAGGAATTATGCCTTGTAGGTTTGCAAGTTTTTGGAGGTTTCGAAATTATCTTTTTCTCCAGAATATGGTCCTAAGCTTAAAGAAGACTATCTTATGGTGAAACATTTGCCCAAGATACAATTTGATGGTGATAAAAGAAGATGTTGTTCATGTGACTGGCTCAGTTGTTGTAAAGACATTTGGCAGAGGGTAACACAATTATTTCATGAAATTAGCCCTTAGGTTGATATAATCTTGACCTGGATTTTCTGTATTTTAAGGATCTTTTTGTGTTTTAAGTGCAACCTTGAAAGGTGAAGTTTATCCTTTTGGTACATCTTGCTCCCATCAGGTTCACCTTTGTATGTTCTATTAGAGCTTCAAATTACCTTATTTTTCTTGAATACTTGTATTAGTTTGAGTTGTAATTAGGATGAAAATTACACAAAAAGTTTGGTGATATTAATTGTGTGTAGAACTATAGAAATGGAGGCATTTGCTGCATTTATTTGCATGACTAAGAGAGTATAGCTGTAAACATGAAAATAACTATGTTCATTTTATTTAATTGCCTCTTCAATTATCAGTTTACCATCCTAATACCTCTTATAATTACCATGTGGTGGTTGTTGTATTGTATGTAATATTTATTACCTTGAATTAAATGCTCGAAATAATTTTTCCGGTAGTGATAATTTAAGTTCCTCCATGGTGACTTGTGTCATGAACATGCTTGTTTCATGTTTCTTAGAGATATGCCTTCATTTATCAATTTCTGTCTGAACTTTCCCTTTCAAGTTCCTTGATTATCAATTTGGGTAATTTGCAGGTATGGGCTGTGCTGAAGCCTGGATTCTTGGCTTTTCTTAGAGATCCTTTTGACAATGTGCCTTTGGATATTGTTGTTTTTGACGTTCTACCAGTGTCAGATGGAGAAGGTCAAGTATCATTAACAAAAGAAATAAATGAAGGAAAACCATTACGCCATTATTTCAGGGTAAGGAACAGGTGTATGAATGCTTATCTGTTCTGAAGCACCTTTTGGAAGGCTGTGTTTTAACTCAATTAGTTTCATTTTGTTGTAGTGTCATGCTGAAAATCAGAAATTTACTTTTCAGTGCTAGAACTGAATTCTATAGTAGTGAACTGTAAAAGTTTTGGTACAATTTTATGTCCCAGGAAGTTGTGCAATGATTTTTCTCATATTTACATTGCACGCCTAATTGTTTGAATTTATAGATCAATTATGGAATCTGACTGTGAAGTTGTGCAGATGTTATGACTCATTATGTTATTCATGTTTGAGATAACTAACACATCCCAGTGTAACCTATTTAAAGGTATTATGATGTGTGTTTTCCCTCTGTCATTATTGCCTCCTTGCTGACACCTCACTACCTGACATACGATCTTAGTGAATGAAAAGCTTCTATAATTACTTTTATTCCATATCTATATCTATGTCATTGGCAATTCCCTTTTCTGTAGTTGAAATTGCATTTTTTGAACTAACTGAATTTAAAATAGGTGTCTTCTGGAACTCGTAGCGTAAAACTAAGAGTAAAGAGTGATGCTAAAGTTAAAGATTGGGTTGCTGCAATTAATGATGCTGGGTTTAGACCACGTGAAGGTTGGTGTCATCCTCATCGTTTTGGTTCTTTTGCTCCTCCTCGTGGGTTTACAGAAGATGGCAGCCAGGCTCAGTGGTTTGTAGATGGTCGAGCAGCATTTGAAGCCATTGCTCTGGCGATTGAGGAAGCAAAATCAGAGGTGCATTACTTTTTCCTAATTCATGAATGCATAACTCTTCATTATACCTCTTTTTAAGGATGTTGTGGGCCATTTGAGAGTGCAGATATTTATATGTGGCTGGTGGCTTTGCCCAGAGCTGTATCTGCGACGCCCTTTTCAGAGTCATTTATCTTCTCGACTTGATTTGTTAATGGAAGCAAAGGCCAAACAAGGTGTTCAGGTACATATCATAGTCTCATGCTAATGTTCAATTAGTTTCTTATGTAGCATAAAGTGCTTTCAGTTTGTTAAACTTTTTAGAAACCTACCTTCCAGTTCCAGCTTTTTAGTTCATTATTGAACCCAATATGTATGCGCACATACTTCAAGATCATCTTTGTTGATATGCATGTTTCATATTTTGTTCATTAATTAATGTCATCAGATTTGAGGTCTAGTTAGTTTGACTAATTTTGTTCCCCAATCAAGTATTTGTTGTTGAGACTTTTGAGCATTCACTAATTGATCTCTATGCTATGTGGAAATAACTAATTAAGCATAGTGAACTTGAAACGAAAATGAACTAATAAGATTGCTCTACGCTGTGTCCATGCATGTGCATAATCTGTTCCTAGTAATGGTGGCAACAAAACTTACATTCCCCTATATTTTTAAATTGCAGATTCCACCCCTATTTCCTTCCTTTTCTTATTCATTGTCTTCAAGCTACAATACTGCCAATGGCCAACACCATGCAAGTTCCCATCTTTCACTATAACGAAATGCCTTCAAATACCAAAAGATTTTCCCAGATCCATGCATAGATCTAGTCCAACCACTTACGCTCAAGTTCATAAACATTTTTGTATATACCTATGTTCATCAATGCCTAGATCTAGTGTGAGAGGGAGAATGGTAAAGAATGGCATGGATATTTCTAACTATAAAGTGATGACAACAATATCATTTCATATCCTATTTCAGTCCTGTTAGGAGACAAACTCTACTGGTGTGGTTTTTGTAAACAATTGAAAAAGCGGGCGTGTCAATGTGAGTTTGATTAAAATTATCCCTTTTCTCAATTGGCTTGTCAATAGGCAATTTATGGTATGACACGTCTGGTAAAATACTGTCTTAATGCTGTTGCTATGTTGCCTCTTCACTCATGCGGTAGTTACTTATTTCTCTTTCTGAACCTCTATATTTTTAACTGGCTGATGGTTTTGACCTATATCTTTGCTTCAGATTCATATTCTGCTTTACAAGGAGGTTGCTCTTGCTTTAAAAATCAACAGTGTGTACAGCAAGAAGAAGCTTTTAGGCATACACAAAAATATCAGAGTACTTCGTTATCCTGATCATTTTTCTAGTGGTGTCTATTTATGGTATGCACTATTAAAGGAAAATCCACTAGGCTTTCCTTTGTATTGTTTCTTGGAACTGGGAACTTTGGTTAATTATTTGAAAAATCTGGGAACTTTGGAACAAATATGCAGCTGCTGATATTACTTTATGCATATGTATAGGTCTCATCACGAAAAAATTGTGATCGTTGACCATCAGATTTGTTTTATTGGGGGACTAGATCTTTGCTTTGGTCGGTATGACTCTTTAGAACATAAAGTTGGTGATTGCCCTCCTATTACTTGGCCCGGAAAAGACTACTACAATCCCAGGTATGATTTCACATTCTACTAAATGGCATTTACCTTCATTGTATCTTTATGTTGCATTCCTTATTTGAAAATTTTGATCAAGAAGCAAATATTTAAATAAATAACTAAGGCCTTTTAGCAGGCACCATTCTTTCTAGGAATTTCCAAGTTGCTCATGCAGATCTATTTTCAGGGAGTCTGAACCAAATTCATGGGAAGATACTATGAAGGATGAATTGGATAGGAGAAAATATCCACGCATGCCATGGCATGACGTCCATTGCGCCCTTTGGGGACCACCTTGCCGTGATGTTGCTCGACATTTTGTTCAGCGCTGGAACTATGCTAAGGTTCATATTTTGCTCTTAACTACTATTACTAGTGTATCTAAACTTTTTTGGTAACCCTTAATAGTGCTATGTCATCTTTCAGAGGAATAAAGCCCCAAATGAGCAAGCAATTCCACTACTCATGCCTCAGCACCACATGGTTATTCCTCATTACATGGGAAAATTCAGCGAGAAACACACTGCAAATAAAGATGTTAGTATTGCTCATGACATTGAGAGACAAGAACAAGAGTCATTTTCATGCAGGTCGTCTTTCCAAGATATTCCCTTGCTTATTCCCCAAGAAGCTGATAGGATGGATATCAATGGTGAATCAAAACTGAGTGGGTTCAGTACAGGACATGATTTTCATAAACAGCCAAGCAAAAAAATTAGATCTCTTTCTCTCCGAAGGGGTAAAATGGAACCTTTAGTACCAGACATGCCTATGAAAGGATTTGCAAATGGAGTTGATGCGTTAGATCTTCAGCAGGATTTGTCTTCCAATTTGATGCACCGTGGCATCAAATCCTTAGATAGAGAATTGTGGGAAACACAAGATCAAGACGATCAAGTTGGTTTGTTGGATGAAGCTGGGGAAGTTGGACCATGTGTTCCATGTCACTGTCAGGTGAGATACAACCAGTCTAACCTGGTTAGGAATTAAGGAATTCTATTAGCTATTCCAAGTTTCTGATTACCATAGGCTATTCTGTACTGTTTTGCTCAATGCTCGAGATACATTCAGTGTCTAAACTGGTTAGGAATTTCATTTTTTCTTCCAAGTTTCTGAGTATCATCGGCTATGCTTTAGTTTTTTGCTTAATGCTCTGTATGGAACACCAAGAGTCTGATTTTAAACCAAATTTTCTGGTATAAATTCTAGTCTTTTACATAGAAACGTTACAATGAAAGCATGATTTTTGTTGCTTTTGACTCTCCCAAGTCTACTTCCTATATTATGTTTTCTTGATTAGCTATGGCTTTCTGTTTCAGGTTATAAGGAGTGTCAGTCAATGGTCTGCTGGAACAAGCCGAATTGAAGGAAGCATACACAATGCTTACTGCTCTCTAATTGAGAAGGCAGAACACTTTGTTTATATAGAGGTTTGTAATATGCTTTTTCTTTAAAGAATCTTTGTCAATTGAAGAGATTATAAATCGTCTTCATATTGCAATCTTCTTTGCTCTTGAGGTTATCAAGACTTCTAAGCAACTCTTGAATATTTTCTGAACTTGATGGGATTTTTTTTGCAGAATCAGTTTTTCATTTCAGGTCTTACTGGAGATGACATTATACAGAATCGTGTGTTAGATGCATTGTATAAGCGAATCATGAGAGCTTATAATGAGAAGAATTGTTTCAGGGTTATTGTTATCATACCTCTCCTTCCTGGATTTCAGGTATTGATACACTTGCTGGATGTATCTGGAATATTAACAACAGAGAAATATTACTGAACTATGTATTCCAATATAACGTGAATGTATCTGGAATGCATGAAAATTACAATAGCTCACTAGCATTTATTCTAAACTATGGGACATGTGATAGTGAAACTAGGAATCTTATAATCTACTCCTAAGGTATAAGGAAACCCAAATTCCTAAGTTGAGTTTAGGAAACATTCCTTAAACTCCACATAGGAATACCCAACCTATTCTAATACATATTTTACTCTAATGTAATAAGTTTTGACAGGGTGGTTTGGATGATAGTGGTGCTGCAGCTGTCAGAGCTATCATGCATTGGCAATATCGGACAATATGCAGAGGACATAGTTCAATATTGCAGAATCTTCATGATCGGATTGGCCCTAGAGTGAATGATTATATATCATTCTATGGTCTCAGGGCCTACGGTAGACTGTTTGATGGTGGTCCTTTGGTATCTAGCCAGGTTTTTTTTTTTTTTTTACTTCCACCTCACTGCTCATATATGTTAGTGGCATCTATTTTCTGAATTCCACTTCTCCTCTCTCATGTTTCTCAGTTTTCATAGCTATTGTTCATTCACGGTGGATTCATGTGTTTGCCAATTTTCTAGATTTATGTGCACAGCAAGATCATGATAATTGATGACTCTACAACCTTGATTGGATCGGCAAATATAAATGACCGGAGCTTGCTTGGATCAAGAGACTCTGAGGTATGCATTTCTCTCTTTGAAATTTACACTTCAAATTATAAACTACGGAGTAAAAGTTATTTCATGTATGAAGCCAATCAACTTAACTGGAACAATATGTGTAATGTGGTTAGCTTATTTTTGGAAGAAATGTGAAAATATTACATTAATACAGATGTATGATCCACTTGGTAATTCTTATACTGCTGTCTATCCTATGCATATGCATTGAATAGAACTCTTCTATAGTTGATATGATTTTTCCCCCTTTCAGATTGGTCTAATCATTGAGGACAAAGAATTTGTGGATTCATATATGGGAGGCAAACCATGGAAGGCTGGGAAATTTACATCAAGTCTTCGGCTCTCACTATGGTCTGAGCATCTTTGTCTAAATGCTGAGGAGGTTCTACTCTGTTAACCACACCTCTTTCTTATTTCCTTCTTCAGGAATAGAAGGGGGGGCATGGATTATGAGCTGTAGGTACGCTGTTAATGATTATTTCTTCTCATTTGCTAGGTTGGTAAAATTAACGATCCAGTGATTGATTCGACATACAAGGATATATGGATGGCAACTGCAAAGGTAAGAGTGGTAAATGCTTCTTGTTTTCTGAACTTTTTATACATCGTTGTCCAGAGTGATCCTTTTTTATTGTTTTCCCTCCTCCAGTTAGCATTCTGCTTCTTAAATAACCTGGTAGTTTTGTCATCTACAGACAAATACCATGATTTTCCAAGATGTTTTCTCCTGCTTACCAAATGATCTTATACATTCTAGGTATGGCATAACTTCCAGCACAGCATCTTTCATCCTTTTTCTACTTTCCCTCTCCTCTTTCATTCAATTCAAGTAGCAGTAATATATATCCCCTTGCAGGTCTGCTCTTCGACACTGCACAGCGCAATTGAAAGGCAAAATCAGTCATGGTACCATAGACTTAGGAGTAGCTCCAGGTAAGCTAGAGCCTCAGCAAGATAGAGACGCGAAGGGAACAAATCCCATGGAACGGTTAGAGTCTGTGAAGGGCCATCTCGTTTGTTTCCCATTGGATTTCATGTCCAAAGAAGACTTGAGGCCTGTTTTCAATGAAAGCGAGTACTACGCTTCACCTCAGGTTTTCCATTAGGCGCAATTCTGTAGGGCCAGATCAAAGAGGTTTGTCAATTGTCACATGCTATGGTTCTTGTCCTTGCATGCATAAACATAAAGGAGAATGGACCATCTCACATCAAGACACACATCTCCTACGCTGCCTCCTTGTCTCATTCGAGATTAGATACATACCGAAGAGATGGGTTCTGGATTTGGGAAGCTCTGAATTTCTGCAATGCTTTCAGTGAACAAAAGGGAATGCAGACAGAACCAGATAATGGACTGTCTTCTGCAAAGGAAAATCATCTTTCATAGTTCATACACATGGATTGTATACCTAAGTGTTTGCAGATTGTAGATTGCAGACTGTAGATTGCTTGTTTCAATATGCCATCATACCATGATGAATAAATTTATATTCTTTGATTTATGTTTTATACAATTTCTTTCATCCTAAATTACGTGTCAAGTTATATAAATAAATAGGGGATAATTTTAACTGAGTTGACAAGACTGTTGGTTTGGGTGGCGGTAGATTGTGAAACATTGGTGTGACAATGATAATTTGCTAATGAGCATTCACATTGCCTGGCATTCTCCATCAAGAAGAATCCATTCAATTGTGTGCCTGTGGAGGTTTGCTGCATGCTCTTCTCACCTTGAAAGACAAATCACATATTCTTTAGGTCATCATATCCAATATTCTAACCCCATAAAGAAAGCTACTAAAAGCAAAAAACAATTCAACCATAAAGCAACGGGCCATAAATAATTTTGCTTTCTATATTTTTAATTTTAAATTAAGTTTAGAATGGAAAATGAAAAACTAAAAAATTGGAATAAATGCAGAGATAACTCAAAACTATCAAAATGCATTGATTGACATTCATTCCTGCTTATTTTATTTTATATAATAAATTAAATGGAAAAACAGAATAGAGAGATAAGGGAGAAAATGGAGAATCTCTTATTACTAACCAACATGTTGCCGTGGTGGTTCAGCATCTCGTCCCTCCATTTGACCAGCCCCCTACCATTTAGTGTGCTGACAGTAGGGACGATGGACTATTACATAATCAACTCATAATGTCCACACTTAACTATATTTATAACAACGACGTTATATTAGAAAAATGCTAATTTGTTTTACTCTTTGACATGACAATTTGTGTATAGTGATTTATATTTGTAGGATTTTTATGAGCTAAATTCCTGCGATTAAGAGGTCATGAATATAGAAAGCAAAATTATTCAGCCAAACACATTCATAGAAAAAAAAAATTAATTATTCTATAGACTCATTATAATCTCTCATCGTAACTTACATATCTTTTAGAGTTTCCCAAAAGGTATAAAAACAAATAATCCTACAATTGTCATCAAGAACTATATAATTCTTTTGTAAACCAACCAAAAGTGATCATATGCTATGTAAAAGGAGAAATAAAGCCCTTGACAAAGTAGTCATGATTGTACGAGGAATTGATACTGTACATTGAAGATATGAATTGTAAAGCCAATATGTCTATCTGTGGTCAAAGATTATTTTATTTTTCTGCAAAGTAATTGTTCATTTTTCTAAACTTGTTTAGTTTAGATTCTTGGTTGATAGTACACTCAATCGATGCAAAAAATCACCACTTCAACTCCACCTCAAATATTTTCAGCTTATGAATTTCAAATTCTATATTTACCAACGAAACAAATCTTTTAAACATCGTGTTTTTATTAGATTATTATAATATAATAATGAACAACTAATAACTTTTACGTATCCCTCATCTTCATAAACACCACTCTGACATGCCATATTGACTTTTTTTCTTGTACATTTATAATCAATTAAAATCTATTTCAGATATGGTAGCTGATTTTATGCTATTTAGTGAAATTTGTAAACCATAGCCGGTTAAACTATCAACAACGGTTTTAATTGAAATGAAAATTATTCCTAAACTAAAGCAAATTCCTAGGTGTTTAATATTTTAGGCCTAGCAGAAATATCCCTTCCTTTTCACCTTCTTTGTTGAAAGGGAGAGGCAAAAAACAAGAATTTCAACATTGAAAACCTTCCTAAAAGCAGATTCTTCCCGCACTTGCTTCCTTTTAAATCTTCCATCTCCATCCACACACACACACGCCATTAATGGATTCTCCATTCCACCCATAAACTCCAGCCATACAATCACCCCACCTTGTTTCTTCCTCCCTGCCATTCCCCTTTCTCCGCTTATTATGGCGCTTCAATCACAGGTATATATGCTTAGTTATTATCAACTTGCATGTCATATTATGTGAAAAAATCTAATCTTTAGATGTGTAGCAATCTTCTGATCTGTGAAGTTGTGTGTGCAGAAAATGCAGAGAACTCAGATCACTGAGATACAGGTAAGGATGGACTGTAATGGGTGTGTCCAGAAAATCAAGAAGGCCTTGCATGGGATTCATGGTGAGTATTACATGATTCTGCAGAAAAAAGTTCTGCTTTTTTTTTTTTGTTTTTAACCTTGTGATTACCAAGCCAATAGCCCGACCAATTTGATTTCTGGTTGCCCATGTGATTTTTTTTCTTGTTTTTGAAGATGGTATTGTGGGATGCTTCATATTTCTGCAGATTGTGAGAGTAAAGTTTGGATTTTTATTTTCTTGTTTGAAGATGAGATTGTTGAATGGTTCATCTTTCTGCAGGTATCTCTGATCTCTACATTGATTTTCCTGGGCAGAAGATTACATTGGTTGGATGGGCAGACCCTGAGAAAATAGTGAAGGCGATTAAGAAAACCCGAAAGAGTGCAGTCATATGTTCTCATACAGAGGCAGAGCTGCCGGAGCCACCACCTCAGCCGCCGGAGCAAGGCTCTGAGGGTGAGTCCACTAGTCCTCCGGCGGAAGCTCCACCAGCTGAAGCGGCACAGCCTGCAGAGCCGCCGAAGGAGCCACCCAAAGATCCGGGGCCGGAAAATCATTATCCTGCAGAGGAAAAGCCATGTCCTGAGGCCAAAATCCAGGCAGACCAGCCTGCTAAGCAAAAGGATGTGGAAGAGGTTCATGTGGTTTACCACTATCCACCAGACTACAGCTATGGCTATGGTGGACAATGGAGTTACTATCACCCTGGCGGTACTGGGTTCAGACATGACCAGCCTCCACCGCCTCTCGGTTCAAGATTCAGACACGAGCCATTTGCAGCAAACAATAGTCCATCTTTCAGATATGAGCCACCTTCGCCTCCACCTCCCGGTGGGTCAAGATTCAGACAAGAGCCGCCACCGCCCCAAAATCCAGGGTTCCGACAAGACCCACCTCCACCACCCTACAGTTCAGGATTCCGACAAGAACCACCGCCACCTCCACCCCCGAGTAGTTCAAGAACCAGACAAGAGCCGCCACCCCCTAGTAGTTCAAGATCCAGACAAGAGCCGCCACCACCACCACCAACCTACACTCCAGAACTCAAACATTCGGGATTCAGGCAAGAACCGCCTCAACCCCCCGGTAGTTCAAGACTCAGACAAGAACCACCACCACCGCCACCAACCTACAGTCCAGAGTTCAAACATCCAGGGTTCAGGCAAGAACCGCCTCAACCCCCGAGTAATTCAAGACTCAGACAAGAACCACCACCACAACCACCACCGACCTACAGTCCAGAGTACAAACATTCAGGATACAGGCAAGAACCACCTCAACGCCCCAGTAGTTCACGGCTCCGACAAGAACCACCACCACCACCGCCACCATCCTACAGTCAAGAACTCAAACACGAGCCTCCTCCATACCAAAACGGTTCAGGATTTAGACAAGAGTTCCCACAACCCATATACGTCTCTCATAGCTACAACACCTACAAGCCATCGCCTTATGTCACTGGATATGAATATGTCAGGTCACCTCCAAGAAACATGAATTACAATAGGCCCGATCCATATCCGGAGGACATGTACCCTAGACCAAGGCGTTACACAGGTTATGATTACGTCCAGTCACAAAACTCGCCTCCAAGATACACACATTATGATCATTACACACAGGATTACCGTAGACCCGAGCCTTACTCCGAGGACTACCACAACGGGAATCTCTCCTCGATGTTCAGTGAAGAAAATCCTAATGCATGCACAATATCATAGGATTGCCAACAAGGTCTGTATAACTGATTTCGAATAACTTGTTCAAGTGCCAAAACTCATCTTCTCGTTGACAATTACTGAGTGAATAGTGTGAAATTGTCAAGAGAAGAGATTCTTAGCTTCAAAAGGCAGATGGAATTTATTCTTCAGTCCACTTTGCCTTGGCAATGCATATTGCCTGGCATTCATTTCATGTACACGAAAACAATTAAAGTCACTTTATTCTTGGATTAGATTCCGCAGCTCCATTTTCTTACACAAGGCCACCTTTTGCTAATAAAGCTAATAGACGGTGTACATCTGAGCTTAGAAACCAAAAGAAAGGAATATTGATATTTATTTACTTTGCTAGGTGTAGAAATGGGGAAATGGGGAATCTGGAATCTTATTTCTTTGCATCAAAACAAGGTCGGTTGATTATATTCTAAATAATCAAATCATTAAAGCAGGCAAGATCAAACACTATATTCTAGTAAAATGTATTGCTGATAAGACAAGACAAAACAAAAATTTAGCTAAAACATCCTAATTTGAAAGATAAACACTGGTCTGAGGAAACAGTTTTCTTTATCATTCTTGATGAACTTTCTCGAGATGTAATATCATTCCCAACACAAATATTTCAAAAAAAAAAAAAATGAAAGAATGCCAGACAAAATTGCTCAACAATAAGGAGACATGGCATCGATACATTGTATGCTGGAAAGAAGTTGCGGGCTCAAGAGTGGTAGTTCCAAATTTTGTGCGAAGTAATTGTACAATACCAGCAGAAGAGGGAATCTTACAAATCCCGAAGATTGTAGACAATTCAAGCAGCTGTCCTTGAAATTCACGTGATGTGCTATTGAGAAGTTGGATCAGAGGGGCATATTTAATGCATTTGGCGGCCCAAGGTTTGAAAAAACTAGAGAATTAAGAGCAATAAACCCTGCAAGATTGAAAAACTCTCAAACAAGATCGAACCACAAGAGATAGCTAGATATGCAGTGAAACAGCAAACAATGGGTTCATAAGATTAAATATCAAATACAAAACTTGCTTAATCATCGTTGTCGCTACTAGTTTGTGACTCATCCTCTAAGCCATAACGAACTTCATCAACATCTTCATCCTCACTTTCCTCCATTTGTTCATCACGTAGTAGCATGTTGCTTTGGCTATTAGCAGCCTTCTCAAACTGTAGCAGATTCCAAGCACAAGCCAAAATAGCATCAATAAAAATGCCGAAAAAAAGTAAAATTTTAATTGAATTCTGAATTTAGCAACCTGAGCTGTTACAAGTTGCAAACGCCCACATAGCTGCAATAAAGAGTTCAGAGCTGCTCCTTTAGACTTCGTAAGCTGGGAAGGAAAGTTAAGAGTTCAGACTACGTAAAATACCTGACCATGTACAAAAAGCAGAAGGGGGGGTATGAAAGAACTTCAAACGTATAATACCTTATATAAGGAATCTAGAAGATGGGTATATGGTTCCTGAGATGTAAGATAATCATGGTGATTGGCCATTATACAATATATCCATGGAAGAATATATTTTGCCTTGTACAATCTGTTGAGAATTAAATTTAAAATATTCAAAGATAACTGAATGAGTACACATATTTAATTATCATGTAGTTTGAGAAGCGATATTTGTCAATATGAAGATTATTATTCGAAACAGATATTCCACCTCTTGCAAAAAAAAATAAAAAGAAGAGAAAGATGAAAAGATCAAACGCTACAAACGATGTCAATATGCTATCAGACCTGGAATGCCATCCAGCAATCAGCATTTCTAACAAGCTGCATGCATCACTGGGTTCCATAGATAAAACAGCTTTCTTTATCTGTAAAAAGAAAAAATTGAAAAAATAGTGTTGGGAAACAAATCTTTTCACAGATGGTTTATTATAACTTGTAAGGAATTAATCTCTGTAAATAGGAATCCGTAAACTCAGACCTCCTTCTGCGTAATACTAGCTTCAAGATTGATACCATTGATTTTGTCAGATTCAAATGTTGGCTTAGAAGTGGGATCATCATTATCACGAACAATCCCCATGGATCTCAGTTGCTCCTCCATGCATATCGTAACAGTATCAGCATCATATTGGCACTCGTCATCTGAATGCAAAAGAAATAATCAGACATCTTTTTTTTTTTTTGAAAAGAACCTGTGCTTCATGACAATTAGACTACTTTAGAAATATTAGGATATCATACTAAAGAACAGATTGTTTAGCATACCTTTACTAACCACTAGCTTAGCTCCAGTCTTTGCACCAGGCAAATCAAGAATATGAGGCATAGGAAGTAAGGCATTCTCCGCATTCGCACGATCCAATGCAGTAACTGTTTTTAAGCAATACAATTGTTATTAATGGGGATAGTTGGAGAAAGCAAGGAACTTAGATTCAGTTACCTTGATTCTGTAATTTGGACAATGTTCTTTTGCGAGATTGACTGATGGGAAGAAGAAGTCCATCGAGTGAAGTGTTTAACTTTAGGTCTGTCCCAGACTGCAGCAGAACTTTCTCAAAAGATGGCTTTATGTGCAAACCATGGGCCAGAAACGCATGGCAAGAAGCAGGTTTAACAACAGTCTCCAATTTTGCAGCAAAAATACCGGGCACTGTGCCATTGTATTTCTTCAGCATTTCCTCATCAGAGGATATCTTGGTGGGCTTGCAATGGCGCAACTCCTTGGTACTCTTCCCATGCCAAAAATAACAGACACCTGTCTCAGAGATAGCCAAAACACAAAGGCCTCCTTCATCTGCATCAGTAGCAATGCATCGACTTTCCAAAAAGACAGCAGGGTGATCCATTGCAAGCAAACAGCACGCTGATTGCTTTTTGCTGCCACCTAACTTCCAGACTGCAATATATCTCTCACCAACAGCAGAAGAAAGCAGATACTTTCCATCTTCAGAGAATACCATACACCGAACAGGACCCTATTCACAATGGAGATAATAAGATTGGTAGATATAAAAAGCAAATGGAGAAGGCATGTTCTTGATTTCTTTGAGAAAAATAAACAGATCATAAGAGATGTAAAATTAAATGGCCAGAAAACTTCAGAACAACTCACAGGGTGGCCAGAAAACTTCTGCAGTTTTTTGTGGTCCGAACAGTTAACAATCTTCAACTGAGAAGCTGCAGTTGCTAATACTTCCCCACCTGACATGATATATTACAATTGCAACATTAAATAAGGTAAAAAATGACTTAATAAAACAAAAGTAATGTGTCAACTACTTAATTGCTAAGTGGAGTTGTCTCTGCAGATAATCACAAAGCAATTAAAATGCTAATTACTTGAGTTTCATTAGAAAAAAGTACAAACCTGACGAAATGGACATAGATGATATTCTCTTTGTAGAAGCTTTGAACTTCTGCAACAAGTTACCGGACATAGTATCAAGTTCACAAACCATCCCATCTGCACCTGCAGTATAGATGAGCCGACCACTTTTAGGAAACGATATGGCAGTGACACCCCTGCACAGTGAGATATAAAAAGAGGAAAAATGAAAATCACCTTAGTCTCTACATAATTTCCCCTCAAACTCTAATTATAATATTAGAGAAAGCTAAAAAGAGAGCATTGTAAGAAAGGACTCACCCAGGATGGCAATCACAAGCTCTCCATTTCAACTGACCAGCAGATACATCCAATGCCAAAACATCCCCACCGCCAGTTCCCAATACCAATAATGAACTTCCAAGCTTCCTTTTTTTCTACAACCCATTAAAATTTTACAATTTGCAAGATTTGAACTTGGGACAAATAAACAAAAGTATCAAACAATTTGAACTGAAACCAAGCAGTAGATGCCTGGAGAATATGTAACAAACCTTTTTGTCCATAGAAATCCATTTCATACAAGTATAGTCCATGGAAAGGTGCCCTTCTTGCTTTTTAGCAAACATGTTTGGGGCCTCAGAAGACTCAATATCTGCAAACTCAGTTTGTATCTGACCTTTCACCGTATCCCATATCTGAAATATACCCAAACAAAGCCTTCAACTACAGAAACTATATAGAGTCCACAAACAAATTCACACAAGCAGCCTACTTAGCTCATTAAGAAAACAAATTACTAAGGGCAACCAAGTTGGTCGGACTGTTGATTTGGTAACCTCAAGGTTACAAGTTCAACTCGCAACCTAGACTACTTTAGGTCCTTTGCAGCTAGGATTATAAGGCGGGATTTACCCAATACACACCATCGAGTAGTGGTTGCGGGTTTTCCAGTCCCCTAAAAGAAAACAAATTACTACATCCAACTAAATGCATGCATATATGGGAAAATTCTCAGCTCAAACCCATTCCCTCATCCTCACATTCGATAAGAAAGAGTTTTACTTGCAAACGGTAAATACACATTCATAAACGTAACAATTTCAATCATTTCAAACTATGAAAAGTACAAATAACATAAATGCAAAAATTGGAACCCAAAAAAAAAAAGGCACCTTTATACGACCATCACCGGTGCTGATAGCAAAGAAGTCCAGAGAAGGACTGAAGGCCGTCAAGAAGTCTCTGATGTTTGGTGACCCCATAGCTGAAGAGACAAACCAAACAATAAAAATAAGAGCTTTACAAGTAAACAACTAACTATTCACATATAGCTAGAGCGACAAATACATGCCGGAGAAAACAGAGGTTCCGAGCAGAGTCGTGCGGTTGGGCCGCTGGGCAGTGGCAGACGGCGCGGCGGAGGTAAATTTTTTTAGCTGTTGCCTGTTGGTTGCAGTATTGTCTTCTTGAAGATCGCTGGATTTTTGCCCTCGCAAAGAAGAAAAGAAAAATAGACTAAGTATGAGTTTTTGGGCTTTGTATTTTTGGGATCTGTAATTTGGGCCATATGACACTTCAGCCCAATTCGTAAAATGACATAATTTCACATTAGCTTCCACACGGCAAATTATTGTCTAGAGCACTGTCCAAAACATTATTGTGAATATTATAAGTAAAAATAATGTATATTATGTGTTAAAATAATGTACATTACGTGTTTAGAATAATAAAACATTTAGAGTAACATAATGTATATTATGCTTTAGAATAATATACATTATGAGTTATACAAATGTATGTTACAATTAAACGTACGAAAAAATAAAATTAAGCAAAATGACATCGATTTTGGAACGTGGTCTACCTAGCTGTGTGACCACAGTCTATGCAATAACTATTGGTTTTTGACGGCATAACTTAAAATCTTAAATTCTCTGTATATTTCGTAATTACATTTGCACCCATTATCAACCTATAAATATATATATAGAGGAGATTATCAAAAGAGAACATAAAATATGTGGACAAATCTTATTCGGCTCATTGATTTTGTGATCAATTTGAACAATTTAGAGTTATTTTACTCAAAATAGCAATAGTCAATTGGTATCTAAGCGCGATTTTTGTAACAATGGTTAAAACTTGAAAGTTTTAATAAAAAAAATGATCACTTTTATAAATATAATAAACTCTGTTCATTTACTCAAATAATTGTACTTTGAAGAATGTTACTAATCAAAGGGTTTTAGTAAAAAATATATATATTTTTCAACAATCATGATTTACTTAAATCGAGTAATTTCATCAAATTATATAGTCCATGGGTGTGAGCTAACCTTTTGTAATTTCTTTAAGTGGTAAATCTAATCTCACTAACCTAACACTAACTTAAAGTAAAAAAAAGACTTGAGAGTTCTTTTTAAGCAAGTTTTTGTGCCCTTTCTGTTCTATGCTCAAACACTGCAGATTGATACTTCTTGCCCACTACAATCTGATTCCTGTGGTGAGGATAGCCATGGAACGACACATAATCAGAAGGATTGAAGATCGGATACTCGCAGCGCCGTATTCTGGCATTTGCATTCATCTTCACACACTTCTCTATCACTGTTGCCTCCTGGGAAAATCTGGCTTTAAGCTCCCTCACAATCTGGCTCACATTCCTGGGCTTCGCCTGGGGAGGAGGGTTGGAGTTCAGATATGGATTGTTGCAGCACTCATTGCAGAAGCTACTGTGTCTCTGCAGATCAAAAGCCCCCCTCCGGACATCATCTGCTAAACAAACATATGCCTGTCCCAACACCAGAAATATTAGTGTATATGCAGTGTGCAATCCAACTATCACATGTTTCAATTTGGTATCAGAGTCATGCCAAAGGTCATGACACCTTAATATAAATTGGTTTGAGTCGATCAGCTATGGGCAAATGGTTTGAGTCGATCAGCTATGGGCAAAAACTTACCTCAGATACTAGTTTGAATGCAACCTCAGCCTTGGGATGTTTGTTCTTGTCAGGATGAAGCTGCAAAGCTGCAATCACAACCAAAAAAAATTATTCATCTCTACACAGTCTGATCTGCAAAATCAAAGATTCAATCTGTATTAGCCTACCAAGTCCACGGTAACGTTTCTTGATGGCATCTACCCCAGAACTCTCATCAATCTATACACCAGAAACCACAAACACACAGTACACATCAAAAAACAACCCCAAAACTGCAACAAAAAACACAACACCAATAATCATGAAAGAAAAAACATACTCCAAGAACGAGGTACCAGTCGACGAAACCCGGTTTTTCGGGGCGAAAACGATGATGCCTGTGAGCGCAGGAACTAGCACGGAGAGAAACGTTGCAAATGTCTATAACCAGCTGAGATTTCTTGGTATTATCTGCAGACTCATTTCTTGATCTCCCCATACTAAATGAGAGTGGCAAATGTGAGCTGAAAATGCAGAAGATCAGAGTTGCAAGGAAGAATAAAGGGGTGCAGTGGAGCGGTTAAGAATTTAGGGGGGATTGTTAGGGAGAAGATGGTGGGATTTTGAAAGTGGATTAGTTGGTGGGAATAAGGAGAGCGAGAGAGATTAACGTTAATCTGCACATGTGGCGGCATCCTGGGAGTAATTTGCATATAAATCATCGTTAAATTTCAAATGGCATGCCCAATAATCTTGCGGAATCTCAACTATAACTGCTATAATATTTCATCTTTAATGTATGCATTATTAGTAGACTATATATTGCGTAACCTTAGTTTTATTCTTTGCCAACAAATCGATTATTTTATGCTTAATAACATTTAACATAAGTTAAAACATTTTAACAATTTAACGTCTGTCGTCTAATGTTGTTTATAGTGTTGAAAATATGAACTCGATCACAGGGCCGGATTTTAGGTTTGTGTGGCCCTGTTCTGGTAAATAATTGAGGCCCTTCAAAATCTGAATTTTTAAAAATAACATATGGGAGTTTCGAACCTTTGACCTCCAAGTTAAAATACAATATATACATATTTTTACCATCTCTTCATAGAACCTTTTTAAATTAATTGTAAACTTTTAATTTTTATTCTAAACAAGCTAGGTAAATATTAAATATTGGACCTCTAAAATTTGGGGCCCCTCTAAAATTGGGGGCCCTGTGCGGTAGCCCAGCTTGCACAGCCTAAAATCCGGTCCTGCTCGATCACTCTAGGGTGCATGGATAATACCCACTATGTCGGCAAGCGTTTAATTCTTTTAGGAGGAATCTCAAAATTTTGGAAGGCAATATATAGAGAGTATAGTCATAGAAGATTGTCAACCAGTCAGCACAAAAATTTGTTTCATGATGAATATGCCTAGTTGAATAGAACTAGTATTTATTTATCAATTGCTTAATTGCTCTCTCTCCTTTGTATCACAAAAATTTGTTTCATGATGAATATGCCTAGTTGAATAGAACTAGTATTTATTTATCAATTGCTTAATTGCTCTCTCTCCTTTGTATCAAACAAAAATTTATGTATTAGGACCGCCATAACTAAGTTGGTTAGACTATTGACTTTATAATAAACTAGTTAAAGCAAATAGTATGACTAATTAATCATATCATATTTATTAGTCATTGTATTAATTATATCCAAAAATTATTGGCTAACATATTTGACCTTTTCTTTTTTAGGATAAAATACAAATAAGCCATTGAACTATTTGGGAAATAGCAATTAATGAATGCATTATGAAACTTTACCTATTGTATTATTATATTATATATTATATATTATAAAAATGTCACATCATTTTTTTTTTTTGATTTTTTTAATATTTGATCAATTTAGATTGATAAGATTATTTTACAGTGTCGAGCACATTGTGCTCATATGGCATGTAGTGACATCTCTCATGTGGGAGGTCATGTGATCGAACTTCAGTATAGGCGTAAAAAAAATACGTTTAAACAGATACTACAATGTAACAATAGAGTTAGTAGCATAAAAAAAAAGATTATTTTACAGTTTCTACTAAAAGCATCGTAAACGGCACCGTTACTGTTAACGGAGTCCGTATGTTTTGGTGTAACTGTTAACGGAGTCCGTATGTTTTGGTGTAACTGTTAACGGAGTCCGTATGTTTTGGTGTATTAAACACCAACTAACACTACAGTACATCTAAATCGACACTACATCACGTATTATTTTTATATTATTAAATGATACTGTAGTTGTGGTGAAATGAAACTGCAATGTATATAAAATGAAACTGAATAACATTTCACATATTTGAGTGTATATTGTACATTGGAGCTGTAATTATATCAAAATGATCATATAGTTGTGTTTTAATCAAACTATAGTGTATATAAAATAAAATTAAATAACATTTTCACATATTTGAGCCTATAAATATCGAATGAACTGTAGTTATATCGAAATGAAACTGTAATTGTGTTGAACTGAAACTGCAGTGTATACAAAATGAAATGAAACTGAATAATAGACTTACTTTTTGTGGAATGGTGCGGAACGACGAAAAACGAATGCCGTTTCTTTTCATTTAACAAAATGACGTCGTTTTGATGCGCGGTGCACGATATAATTTGACAACCCAAAAATACCAAACCCGATTTATCTGTGATCCAGCTGGAGCCGCGGATCCAATTGACCATGGACTGGGCCAACCCAAAAATACCAAACCCGATTTATCTTTACCCGACCCATTTGGTGGGCCCACATATTAATTTCTTAATCCAATCCAAATCCCACCTTCCCTACACGCCAATATAGATGCTTTGTCCAAGTCCAACATAGCGCGCACATCTTCTACTCTAAATTACTGTTATGCCCTCATTCCCGTGTCGTACTTCCCTTTCCAAAGCCCCATTTTCGTCATTCCGAGACATCACCGTCGTCCCCAACTCCGTTTCGCCCCTTCTCCGAACCCTCCCCTCCACCGTAAATATTATACTCCGTACAAGCAATTAGGTATATCTATATGTGTATATATATATATATATATATAGTATATATTATATATTATTGTATATATGTTTATATGCGTGTAATTGTTTGTTGTATTTGTGGGCTAGATCAATTTCAATTGTGTCTCAAATTTTGATTTTCAGAGGCTAAAATTTTCTCAATTTTTGTGGGGGTTTTTGAGCTGTGATCTAGGCTCTAGAGCTGTTGTTTCGTTTAATTCGGTGCGTGTATGTGTATGCTGAGAATCGGGCGGTGGTGGTGAGTGGCTAGGGAGTGGTGATCTAATGGCGGCTACGACGATGGCGACGGCGGCGGGGGCGGTGGTTCTGATGTACTATGTGCTCAGTCGGAGGTTGTCGGCCAAAGAAGAGGATGAGGTGGGCGGAGAGTACTCGAAATCGCCTGGTTGTAGATCTGTTAAACGGAGGCTGTCTCGGAGGCCAGCTCAGGCTCCGGCGACGTGGCTAGAGACGATTTCTACGTTGGCGGAGACGCTTAGGTTTACATATTCGGAGACACTAGGGAAATGGCCCATCGGAGACTTGGCTTTCGGGATTAATTACCTCATCCGAAGGCAGGTAGGTGTAGGTTCTTTTGTGTTGTTTTCCCCAACCTCAAGGGATTTTAGCTGTGATTACTTGCTTTATCTCAAAGTTATCACCTTCTTCTCAACTGTTCTACTGCTTCGTCAGTTTTATGGAAATTGGGGTTGTTGGATTGGACTGTTTTCTAATCAAACTGTTATTTTGAGCTGTTCTAGTGAGTAGATGGTTTTTATAATTATTTTAACTGTAATATTTCCATTTATCATGTGTTTCAGTAGGTAAAGTTGAGTTCTTTTTGCAAATAGGTGCTTTCAGCCTTCTGATGTTCTAGTTATAATGGTCTGGGGAAAGGCTGAATCTGGGCCAGATAGCATAGTGCTAGTTTGCTTCTCCTTTTTTGGCATTTACTGCCACAACCTTGTGGAGTGACATAATTTTGTTGATTGTAAGGCCTTGGGAATATATTTGTTGATTGACTTTGAACATGAATTTAAAATTTTTACTTTCCTGCAACATTTGTGATAGTTGTGCTCCACAGACACATTTATATACAAGTTTGACTCACTATTTTTTATGGCATCAAATTCTCTTCCTAACATTATTAAATTTTGTTGTTAGTGAATGAATTGTTGTACTGCTTTCTGTGTTTTAAATTTAGTCTGTAAAAATTCAGGGTTCAATATCATTGTGAAAGACATCAACGAACTAGAAATGCTTTATTGTGAAAGAATGCAGTAACAAATTAGAACTTCCCAAATCTCTCCTGGATGTTTTATACTTTTATGCCTGCCTTTTGTTTGATGCTATATTATGTTACCTCAACTGATGATGTGAATTGTGTTCAGGGTAACTTAAGAGTTGCAAGTGTATATGCTGGTGATAATTGCTTGCAGCTGAAGGGTGCTGATATTATTGCACAGTTGTATGATTATTTGAGGTTGTTGACCCTTTGTTACCTTTTCTCAAAGAAGCCATTCCCTGTATTTTTGGAGACTGCTGGCTACTGTCAAGAAGATGTTCTTCTTCAGAAGCCTAAAGCAGGGGTATGTAATTGTGTACTATGTAATATTTGGGCTGCTTCATCAAAATAAAGTTTTTTTTCCCATAAGCTAATGTTTTTTTAATTTGTTTTTGCAGCTCCTAATGCCTGCCTTCACAATTTTACGGGATAAAAACTTAAAGTGCTTCCTTCTTCTAATTCGAGGCACTCATAGTATCAAGGATACATTGACTGCTGCAACAGGGGCAGTTGTCCCTTTCCACCATTCGGTTTTAAATGATGGTGGAATTGGCAATCTTGTTTTGGGATATGCACACTGTGGGATGGTTGCAGCTGCTCGGTGGATTGCAAAACTTAGTATTCCTTTCCTTCTCAAGGCACTTGAGGAAAACCCTGATTATGAAGTGAAGGTGAGCAGCAACCTGATTAATCATTTTGGTTTACTATTTTCTCTATTTTCTTTACGTATATTAACTTGATACGTTTCTATTAAGTAAATTATTTCAATGTACTTAGCATGATCCAAAAAAAAAAAAAAACGGAGTTGCAATTAGTAGGTAAAGGTCATAGTATATAGCAACCGTGTAGTTAATGGCTCATGATGGCTTGAAAATGATTTGCACTCTCATATTTGTCCATTTTTCTAAATGAAAAGAAATATTATTGAAAAGAAAAAAGTGTAGCTGTTATAGTTTCCAAGAATATTTAGTATTTGACTTGTGCTTTGCGAGGATTGAGAGGTTAATTTCTTGTTTATCCAGTTTACTATGTCTCCAAGTAAATGCCTATTTAAACTTCTCAACTACCGTTACTTTTTGTCAACTTTAGGTTGTCGGTCACTCTCTTGGAGGTGGCACTGCTGCACTACTTACCTATATCCTTCGAGAGCAGAAAGATTTATCTTCAATCACTTGCGTTACCTTTGCACCGGGTATGGA